ACTCTCTCTCACACACACACACACACACACACACACACACACACACACACACACACATATATAAATAACAAATAAGATAATAAATTAATATGTATAAATAATATAAATAATTTATAGCTTTTATCATTTTTTTTATTTAAAAAAATAATAATTCACTAATATCTGCCAAAATCTCTATATTGGTGCACCTTCTTAATTTGGTCAATTTGGTTGTGTTTTGTGCTAGTATATTAAAATAAAAAGTATAATAAAAATGCAGATGTCATGACGTGAGCGTGTTTGTGTTTCAGTCGCGTGGAGCTGAAGAGACTGTGTGAGATCTTCACCCGGATGTTTGCAGATCCTCACAGCAAGGTGACCTTTCATCATCTTCATTCATTCACAGTTTCTTTAAATAATGTTTATGTTTCTTTTGACTTCTAATGCTGATGACTTCTGTTCTGTTTTATGTTCTGGTGTTGCTTTGGGCCGATGCTTCAGAGAGTAAGTGATTCAAACCTAGAAATCTTGTAAATAAATATCATAAATACATTTTAAAAACTTGGGAGCTGTTCACACTGGTGTTGTTTTAGTACCTTTGAGATTCTATTATAGTTTTTGAAATATTATTAATTAGTTTTTATTTTTGTATTTTCATTTTTTTTATTACATTTTTTTTATTCTTAGTTTTTTGTTTTGTTTTAATTTTGGTTCAAGTTTTAGTAATTTTGTTGTGTTATTGTAATTTTTTATTTTTTTTAATTTTTAATGTCTATATAGTTTTTATTAATTTTTTGTTCAGTTTTAGCTATTTTAATACATCACATTAAGCTAAATGAGAAATATTGCCTTGTCAGGTAGGTGAAATAAATAATATTTAATTCATAAGTTATATTTAAAGTTATACTTATATTATATTATATTATATTTTTATATATATTGTCATATTTTTTATTTATGTAATAAATATATTTTTCATTTATTTAATTTTTAACTGTATTTATTTCCATTTGAATTAATTAATTAATATTTTATTCTGGTTCACACAGAAAGTGCTGTTGCGCTGGAAACAGACTGACATGAAGCAGCAATGCAAGCACAGTTCAGATTCCTGTGTGAACAGAGCAGAGATGCTGAAGCCACACTAATGCGTGTGTGTTTGTCAGGTGTTCAGCATGTTCCTGGAGACGCTGGTGGACTTCATCACGTTGCACCGAGAGAATAATAATAATAATAATAATAGTAATATATGTGTTTGTGTGTGTGTTTTAAAAGTCTATGTAGTTTAACATTTTATTTAATGTAAAAAATTTAAATATTATTATTTCATACTTATTTTTAATTTAGTAATTTATTTTTAGTATTTTTTTTTATGTCTATAGAAAATGGGGGCCGATCTTCTGGGGTCCGTTCAGGCCAAAGTCCAGCAGGCCCTCGACGTCACCAGGTCTGAAATGAGCTCAGTTTGAACTAGAAACCATTCAAGAGTGTTCAACAGTGAACTGTATTTCTGTGTTTTGTCCTGTAGTCGTCTGTGTGTCGCTCCTTTGGTTGATTCTCTTCTTTCTGTCCTGGTTTGCACAGAGACTCTTTTCCTTACGATCAGCAGTTCAACATCCTGATGCGGTTTATCGTCGATCAGACGCAGACCCCAAACCTCAAGGTCGGTCCGGTCTTTAAGTTTTCCTGCTCTGCTTCAATTGAGTTCATATCCAGCATCCAAAAATAACTTTTAATATCCCATCAAACCACCCTGTACATTTTGGATAAAATCCTTTTTAATAAAAATAATATTTGATCTAATAATAGAAAAATACTATTTGAAATATAAAAATACTATTTGAATCTACTTCCTTGCTAAATGTCTGGTTTATAGATTTCGTGCAATAGTCGCTGAGCTTTTCTTTCATAAACCTTTACAACAAGGTCCCATTAGTTAACGTTAGTTCATGCATTAACTAATATTAACTAACAATTGGCAATTCATTTGTTACAGTATTTATTAGTCCTTATTAATGTTTGATAATAATAATGCTGTTCATTGTTAGTTCATGTTGCTCAGACCCATTATTTAATATTAACAGATATCACTTTTAATTTGAATAAAGTGTTAGTAGATGTTGAAATTAACATTAGCTAAGATTAATAAATGCTAACAAATCAATCTTAATGTAAACAGTGTTATAAAAAATTTGTTTTTATTAATATTTTGAATTAGTTTTTTTGGGGGGGGGGGGTTGTAATTTTTATTTGTTTTTTTTTTAAATATTTTGAAAATATTTTTATATAGTTTTTTTTTTTTCAGTTTTAGTTTTTAGTACGTCAAGTGAAACAGTAAAAAATGAGAAATGTTGCCTTGGCAACTAACTGATTTTTTTCTTTCAGTTAACATTTATTTTATTTAAAGTAACAAAGATACTGTTAGAGTTTTTATAAAATATTTTGAATGCATTTTTATTTTTTATATTTTCCATGTTCGTTGTAATTGTAAAATTTTAGTCATTTTGCTGTTTTTTTTGTCATTTTTATTAGTTTTTTTTTAAATAGCATAATTTGAGATAGTTATTATTAATGTTTTAAATTAGTTTTTATTTTTCTGTTTTCTTTTTAATTTTAGTATTTTTGTTGTGTATCATTTTTATGTTTAATTTTTAAAATATGTTTACAGTTTTTATTAATTTTTATTTTAGTTTTAGTTTTACTAGTGATACTAAATGAAAATGAGAAATAATGTCTTAAAAACTAGCTGAAATATAATACATTGTACATCGAATCTTTGGCCAGACAGATGGATCCGTCAGACTTCGTGAACTCCAGCGAGACGCGGTTAGCCGTTTCTCGAATCATCACGTGGACCACAGAACCGAAGAGTTCGGACGTCAGGAAGGTCAGTGTTTTTCCTCATGTCGAGGCTTCGGCTGTAGTTCAGCTTGTCAAAGTGAGCGGTGGTGTGTCTCAGACGCTTCATATCTGGCTGAATGAGGAGGTGGCGGGCCGGAGCTCCACTGTGGCTTCCCTGCCGGGGGAAGTAACCTGGAGGAGAGATGTAAGCAGGTAGTGACCCCCGACCCTTGACCTTTGACCTCCTGACTGTCTGTGGAGGACAGGGCGGGCTTGTCTAACACTGCTGCTGTCTGACCCGCCGGTGGAGGGTTTTGCTCTGATGGTTGATGATGTTTCAGCACCGTCTTTCCTCTTTTCTGTGCCACTAACACCTTTATCTGAAGCACTTGAATGACCTTTGACCTTCAAAAGCGCTACAATTACTAAATCTAAATAAATAAAATAAAATTAAATCCAAATAGTGTTATTTAAAAAGCAAAAACTAATACAAATGACATAACAAAATTACAGAAATAGCAACTAGAAATAAATAAAAATTTATTAAACCTAAGTAGTATTGTTTTAAAAACAAACACTAATAAATACTAATACAAATTACATAACAAAATTAATACACTTTAAACTGTAAATAAATAAAAGTGAATGAAACATAAAAAGTATTACTTAAAAAACAAAAATGACTAAAATTAAACTAAAATGAAAATGAAAACAAAAAATTTTTTCATAAAATGAAAAAATTCTAAACTAATAAAATAAAAGCAAATTAAAAATATTAATAAAAACTATAACAGTATATAAATAATACTAAGATAGCACTGATTCAGTTTACCTTGATTCTGATCATTCAAATGACAAAACATTGAAAACGCTTTCTTTCCAAAGATTTCCAGTGGACAAAAAACAGTGGAGATGCAACCTATGACCTTACGATCTGAAGATTTGTCCCTCAGAGTCTTTATGCGTTCACTTCAGATTCAACATGACGTCTACCCCTCACTAAGACCCATTGGGATGCATATCAATTATGCATATCATGTTATTGCAAGACTTTGAGATGTTCTTATTTGTACCTAATCAGGCACAATGTGAGTGTTTGAGGGTTTAGTCATTTTTCCTTTCTCACATCTCATCTCATCAGTGTTTTTGTGCTGGTTGTGTGTTTTCCAGGCTGCTCAGATGGTTTTGATCGCCCTGTTTGAGCTGAACACCCCAGAGTTCACCATGCTGTTAGGCGCTCTGCCCAAAACCTTCCAGGACGGAGCCACTAAACTCCTGCACAACCATCTGAAGAGCAGCAATAGCGTGGCTGCTGCAGTGGTATTCACACACTGATCTTACTCTCCGTCACTGAATGTTACGGTGTGCCGCTCGCTGATACGTCTGTGTCATTTGTTAAGTCTCAGGCATCTCCCAGCAGCAGCAGCAGTTTGGGACGCACCCCTCCACGACACCCCGTGACCCGCAGCAATCCCCTGACCTCACCCACCAACGGCTCGCACGCAGGACTGTCTCCCAGGTACCTCAAAACAACCAGAAACACACAAAATACATCAACCGTCTGTGAAGCTGAGGGACATCATCAGGACCACATGGAATCTGAGACCACAGAAATAAGAAGAAAAACGCTTTGGAATGATCTACTCATCACCGAAAATATTTATTTAAATATATATAAAAAAATTATATTTTAGTGTATTTATTTTTACTGAATTAGCATATTAATTCACTAAATGAAAAAAAAAAAAAATTAATATTAAGAATATAATATTCTCACCTACATTTTGGTGTTATTTTTATTAATATTTTGAAAATATGTTTTCATTTTAATTTTAGTTAAAGTTTTAGTAATTTTGCTGTATTTTTGTCATTTTTATTAGTTTTTGTTTTTGAATATATCTAATATTCTCACCTACATTTTGGTGTTATTTTTTATTATTATTTTGAGTAGTTTTATGTATATTGTTTTCATTTTAATTTTAGTTAAAGTTTTAGTAATTTTGCTGTATTTTTGTCATTTTTATTAGCTTTTGTTTTTAAATATATCTATATAGTATTTGTTAATTTGATTTATTAGTTTTAGAACTAGTTTTTAAACTAAGCTTAAAGTTTAACTTTAGCTTAAAGTAAAAGAGAATAAAATAAAATGTTAACTTTTTTTCGGTTAACTTTTATTTAATTTAAAGCAACAAAATAATTTTTTATGGTTTTACTTTTAGTTTTAGAGTTTTAGTTAACAGTAATAACCCTGCTACACATCACCATATATATATATAATTTTTTTTAAATTAATAATTTACTAAAATAAAATAAAAAAAATTATATTAAGAATG